TGTATGAACAAATAGAAATGAAATAGGGGTATACGAATTTATACAACACGTTTGCAATATATTATACATTCCGCAGTAATACAATATTATATACATTTATAATGTAATACACGCGTGAAAGTGTTATAATTGAAAATTAATATTATTAAAAATTATATATTATATATATGTATAAGTATATAAATAATTTTGAAATGTAATATGAACATGTATAACATTTATTTCTGTATAACTTTTAATTGTGTATAACACTTAAGTATAACATTTAATTATAAAGCAAATTAAACCCCAAAATGAATTACTATAAGTATATAAGTAATTTTAAAATACGTAATTATGAATATGGTATAACATACGATTGTGTATAACACTTAAGTACATATAACAATTAAATTAATGTATAGAAAATTATCTCAAATATGATTGTTACTCGTAATTGGAGCTTATGTATATATGTATACTTAAATTTAAACATACTTATTCATATAATACGATATAATGTTATAAATATACTCATTACGTGTTATATAAAATATATATATATGTATGTGAAAATGTACAAAATGTAAAATATCCAAATATACGTGTATCATACGAAGCACATATGTATTATATACATATTTCTACTTATCTATGAATGTATTTACTTACATTTTATATACATACATATATATATACATATGTATTAATATTTCGGGAAAGTGCATAACTTGCATATTTCAAATTTTTAAATTATTTTATTAAATACTTTTAATTTTTTCATTAAAATATAAAAATTTGAATTCATCTGTGTTTAAATGGCTATTATAAGTATGCTGTTAATTATTAAATCCTATAAAAGTCATATATATATTCACATAAATATATTTAAGTATGTATGATGTACGTACAAACATTCTTACTTTTCAAAACCAGCTGTGTAGCATATTATAGTTAATATGTACTATATAGCATAATATATAATCCGTCATACAAACATGTAGAGACTACAGAGGTTTTTGCTACATGGGTAGCGATTTTTTTTTGTGTAATATAATTATATACTTATGTTATACATTATATATATAATATTTACTATATAATTATATTTTCTGAAGAGATAGAAGGGGAAATAAATTAAAATTATGAAAATTCACCAAAAAAAATTACACATGACATATTTGAAAAAATGTATGTATGGATGTTTGTATGAATGTATTTATATGTATATGGGTATATTGGGTCGTCGTTTATGAAAATAAATTAAAAATACAAAGAAATTTTTTTTTTTAAACCTTCAAGAAAGTAAAATTAAAAGCTTTTGTAATAAGAAGAAAAAAATATGAAAAGCTCCTATTAAAAAATATTTTATTTATCGAAATGAAAAAAAGGGGAAGGGGATGGGGCAAATGGAGAATATGAGACAAAAATAATTTATATACGTACATAAGTTAATGTATAAAAGTAATCAGATTTATTTTTTATATGGCTTGTAAATGGCTTGCATATATAATTTATATATATATACATATGTATATATGCATATATGTATTGTTATGTATGTCACATAAAAAGTATATTACATATATATAATTAAAATTATGCTTTTGTTATAAGTACGTCTATATTTATATGCATATTTTATTCACAAACATTTTGCAGTCACGTATGGCAACACTTGATAAATAAATTGTGGCTATGTGCATATCGGAACTTAAATTTCAATTTGATTTAAATTGATTTCGATCTAGATTCCAAAAATTAAATTAAATAAGAATAATAATTTAATTATCCTGGAATCATGTGCTAGACATATGTACACAATATGTACTTAACGTATATACCTAAATAATTTAAAAAATAATTTCGTATTAAAATCAAAAAATAAATTTCTGTTACATTTTTCTCTATTTTAAGTAAAAAAAAATGAAGTGTAACACGTTTCAGAACAACTAAATGGCTTGTAGCAAAATATACCTGTGGCTTCTTAAAGGTACGATATTCTGCAACTCTTACGAATATCAGAAAAATCTAAATAATGATTTTGAATTTCATGACTGAACGAAACAAAATTTTTCCATAGACATCTAATTCGAATATAGCTCTCTACTTTATATATCAAAATGTAGAGTTTTGAAAGTACAACGTTTTTGTACAAAAAAAATAGGAATTTAAAAATTAATGGTTACAACGTTATTCGAGTCGCACATCCAATTCTTAATAAATAATGGCATATTTTAGAAAACTCTTTAAAAAATTTTAAATAGTTACTGCTATGTTAGTGACATGGCGTTAAAGTAAACGAAAACTAGAAGGTTTTTTCTATATCTTAGAAGTGATTTTGAAAAATTTTATAAAATAATTAATGAAACAAGTATATTAATTAAAATACAAAACTAAGGCTTCAGAGACAATATTCCAAATTATTAATCTTAAGTAAATTTATTTATATACATACATATGTAAATACTATATACATTCATGCATACCGATTAGTATACTACAGCCATATAAGAAAATACGAGTATGGCAAAAAAATACCACAATCCAATTTGATTTTTTTTATATAAAAAAAAAAATATTCCACCACTATTATATTTCGTATACTTTTTTCTTATGCAGCAAGAGGAACAAAAAAAAATCAAAATTTTATTTTTTAATTTTTCTCTTTTTATTGTTTTTGGCTTTGGGGAACCCAATGGAGAACACAAAACTAAAAACACCTAAAACAAAAAAAAACAAAAAAAAATTTTTAAGTTATTTAATTTTTGCGAATGTGTTTGTGAAACATATGTTTTCAAATTTTTTTTTGTTTCTTTTTTTTTTAGTATATTGGCTATACTACACATAATGTACATGTTATTATTATTCTATACCTGTTTATTGCACATAAATTACAAGAAATTGCCAGATGGAATTCAAAAATAACCATTTTGAATGATGCAAAATATGTATGAGCTTAAATCAATAAATATATGTATAACAAATTTTTACAAAAAAATCTACTAATATTACATTAAAAAATCACTCTGTACTAGTACGAAATTAAAGCAGAATATTTTTTATATATATATTAAAACTTTAAATATAAGAGATATTTGGACGCTAGAAAATTTTTTGATTATAATTATAAATTTAATTTGGCCGTCAGGTGTAAATGATAGAAATTACTTTATTCTCGTATGTTTGTATATAATAATATGTATGTTTGAAAAGCGATCACCTGATTTGTTTTAATTATTCTGAGCTCAATCAGATAATTTCAGTCCAATATGTAGCTAAACTGTCATCAAACTTTATTATAGATTTAATCTGATATTTTGTCGTACCTATATGTAAGTAGAATCTTAAAGTTTCGCATGCTCACTTATTATATTTAATAATTATTACATTTACTTACATACTTCGGCATAATAATTGTTCAATTTATAAAATTTTTGAAAGTACAAAATTTCGATCATGCATAGCATTAATTTAACTAGAACTTAAAAATTCATTAAGAGAATTGTAAGAATATTCAGAAAAAAATACACAAAATTAATACTACATATTCCAATATAATAGGGTATTGTCCATAGTCATATTCCAATTTGATTATAAATTAATATATTTGGCAACCTTCTTTCAAATAATACAATTATATTTGATTTTTTTTTTCTGATTTTTTCCTCTCTCTAACAAGTAATACTACTAGTAGCCTAGTTAGTTGCTGCGTCAACAAAAAAAAAAACTATTATGTATAAAAAATATTATGTGTATATAAATAATGTACATACAAATAAAATATTATTTACTTATGCAGTCTACAGCTGTAGTATATGTATGTATGTAAGAGAATGTATATTTTAAATTCCTCTTGTTTTTATTTATGATAGATTTTCATAAAGAGACAGGTATTTCTAAAAATATAACACACAATATTGTTATATGAAAATATATACATATGTACATAATATTGGAATGTATATAACTTTAGCACATATTATGTAGGATACATACATATACATTCACTTAATACAAAAAGTTAATGCAATACGGAATTTGATAATGCATAATAATTTTATTAGTTAGTTAATCTCTCGCATATTCTATTACTAAATCAGTCTAGCCAACCAGCATAAAAGTTTAAAGAAATTTTTTTTTTTGTGTTTTAATAAAAAATATTTTTATTTTAGGAAATTAAAGTAGCCTTTAATTAAATATTTTCAAATTTTATATTTGAATTGTAATTTGCACAAAAAAAAATTTTATTTTGAGTTTCTTTTTTAATTCCTGAAATTGGACCAATGAAATAACTGACATAATTGTACCTACATAACTACTTTGAATTTTTTTTATAAATTAATTTAAGTATAAATTTTAAATTTGTAATTAAAAAATTAATTATATTATAAAAATTAAATACTTATTAAAATTATTTTTTAAATTAAAAAATAATAACAAAAGAAAAGTGCCTCTTTTAATTTTGCAAAAAAAAAAATTTAATCTTAGTGATAAATTAATAATTGATTTGTTAGCTACTTTAGAGCAAAAAATTAAAAAAAAAACAAGTTTTAATTTTTTATGTTACGTAGGCAAAAAATATCAATTTTGTTATATTATTATAAATATTTTGTATACATATACTTATATATATATATATATATATATATACACATGTATGTATGTTCGTGTAGAGAAGTATATTGAAATTTTTTTTTACGAGTTCTTGTACAAAATTAATTGCTTATTTTAAAAAAAAATTGAGAATTTTCATTAATATGTTATATATGTTTGAGAAAGAACATTTAATATACAAAAAAAGTTCCAGCAGAAGTATTTAATTGTAAAAACGAAACTAAAGCGGTGAAGGGCAAAAACACCAATAACGTAAAATCAACTGTTCATAATTTTACATACATAAATCGTCCGTTGAATTCGCGCCGATGATTTCGCGTCATTCTGGGAAATCACATTTAGAATCCTATACGTATATCAAATGAATTATACAATATAATTTTTATATTTTTAATGATTTTTCAAAAAATAAGGAACGTTTCACGATTTTGCGTGTCATCTTTGGGTAGGAGTCATTCTGATCTTCTCTTTATCTTTTCAATTTTAGTACATGTTTTAATTTTAATAAAATCTTTCCAATTCTCCATACTAGATGCGATATTCTAAATTTGATATACATATATTCAAATCTCATATCTATTTGAAATAATTTAATATGTTTACCTTAAAACTAAAGGTAAAAATTATTTGATATAAAAATGATCACCATATCGTAGTGAACGATTAAAAAATTTAATATCGTAAATGACCAATTATTTTAAGTAAGATTTTCTTGTTGGTTTAATTTGTTGTAAATTCTTGGATATTCCGGCATATTTTTAGTATAAACTAATTTTTACTATGATAATACCTATATATGTACATACACATACATACACAAAATAATCGCAAAAATTTCATTGTTCCCATGATATTTTTGGTTTTTTTTTTTGTTTTTCTTTCTTATTCAATCATTATCATATTTGGACTCGTATACTAAAATTAAAATTAACTTAATATTAAATACAAATATATATTCATACATACATACATACAAAACATATAATTTTAATAAGTAGTATATAACTAAGTGTACCTACATTAATCTACCTTATAATTTTATATAAAAAAAAAGAAAAACAACTTTTATTTATAAGCTCTCTCATTTTTTTCTTTTCTTTTTTTTTTTGTTTTTAAAAAGAAAAAGAAGCAAAAAAAAATTTAATAATAAGATTTTTTAACAAAAAATAAATCTTTGTTTTTAAATTTGATATTTTATATTTGTTTGAATATTGCACATGTATGTACATATATATTTTTGTATGTATGTAAAGTATATATGCATGTATGTACATACATAATTATAATTTAAAAATACTTATAATAAAATATAAAAATTAAATTTTTTTTTTTGATTTTTCTCAATATTTTATAAAACAATCCATTTATGCATACATACATACATACATAATTATTTTCCTTCTTGCTTTTATGCATACATACCGTCAAATATATAAATTATATTATGTACTTCACCTAAAATTGTTTTATACATACATATATTATCAATGTACATACATATATACATCATATAAATTGTACATATATATGTATGTTCCTATAAATTTATTTATAGAGATAGAGAGAGAGAGATATTGTTTTCAAGGCTAATCACAATTAAAATAATCAAAAATTAAAAAAAAAAAACAAGAAAATAGAAAAAATTAAAAAAACAATAAAAAAATTTTTTTATATAAATTAATTCACAGCAGCAGCAACAACAAGCAGCAACAGAGCAGAAAACAATAAAAATAAAATCAAATCAAAATTATTGTAAATTTTAACACAAAAAAATAACTACTAATAAGAAAAAACAAAAGCAGAATAATAAAAATTGAAACAACAACCAAAAAAACACAGAGAAAAAAATAAAGCGACAAAACAGAAAGGGAGTTTGTGCAGCAAAAGCAAAAATAAAACAAAAAATAAGAAAAAGAGACTGCCAAACTGCTTAAACTAGTAACAAGAATATCAAAAAAATAAAAACAAAACTAGTTCTTCAACTTTAATTTCAAAATTATTCTTTGTTATTTTTTTCTTTCTTTATTTTTATTACATACTTATTTTAAATATATAAAATACACTTGCATTTTATATTACTTACCTTTTACTTAATTTCTTATACATACATATGTACGAGTACTACTTTTAAAAGTAATTGGTTTGAATTTTATTTAAAAAAAAAAAAGTAAAAATAATCAACGCAAAAGAATTTATTTGCACCTTTTCTTTCTTACTTTGAAAATTGCAAATCAATTCGCTGCTCCGTTCTGCTAAGCAAAATTCAAGATAAAATTCATTTGAAATCAAAAATTCAATCAGAACTTTTTGAAAAGTCAATTGCAATTTTTAAAAATTTTTTCTCAAATTTTAATTTGATATTAAATTTTTTTGAAAACTATTGCACTGTGTTATTAATATCAGCATATAATTTTTTTTATTACATATTTAGATAAATTATGGTTTAAGAGTGATTGAACGAAAAAGAACAAATTGGAAAACCAAAAAAAAAGAAAAAATATCAAACCATACCAACCAATACCACAAGTCAATCATAACAACCTTCCTTTCTAAACCATAAATACATAAACAAACTTAATGTACATTTAATGCAAAAACAAAAAGAAACCGATAAATAAATAACAACACAAACATACAAAAAATACAATTGAATTAAATAAAATACAAAAACACATTAAAAAAGCTACCATTAAAAAACAACGACCAGACTTTTTTTTTTAAGAAATTAATAAAAAAAAAATTTCATTTTTTCTTTATTACACACACAATAAAAATTCAAAAAAAAAAAAAATCAAATTAAAATATTTTATTTTATCTCTTAAAAAAAAATAGCAAAAGCACGACTATCACGTAATTTTTAGCAAAAATTACAAACAACAATATTAAACTATATTTAATAATTGAAGAAGAAAATATAAATAAATTAATAAAAAAATAAATAAAAAATAAATAAAAAATATTAAAAATAATAAAACAAAATATATAATTAAATATTTTTACTTACATTTTATACAAACATATAAAAAGTTTTTTAATTTCAAATAAAACTTATATATGTATAACAGTTTTAAATAATACAATAAAGAAAAAATATTAAATTAAAAATAAAAAGAAAGAAAAGTAAATAAAAAATTTTTAATTTTATAAAATCAGTTTCGTTATTATTTTTTTTTCTTCATTTTAATAAAATAATTGAAAAGTTAATGAAAATTTGAATTTAAAAAACACAAAAAAAATTTAATTATAAAAATTTTTCGGGAGCAGTTATTTTTTTCACAAAATTAAAGTTACACAAATAAAATAATATTTAAATTAAAAAAAGAACAAGTTGTAAAATTAATAAAAACATTTTTATGATTTCAAAATAAAAATTGTAAAAATCAACATCCAAAAAGAAAATATTTGAATAATTTTGAACAAAAAAAAAATCAATGTAAGTACTACAATCATATTTTTATATTTATCCCTATTTTAAATAAATTTATGTTAGTTTAGTTGTTGCAATCATGACATTACTATAATTTTACTTTAAATACACAATTTTGTCACCACGCTATATTTCCTTGTTTTCTCTCAGTGTGTAATGTTAGGTACTTGCTTATGGTAACTTTACTACTTTAGAATTCCTATATTCTCCAATTTTCTCTCAGTGTATAAATAAAAATAATTTAAATACATTATTTGATCCTTATTATTGAAGGCGCTATTTTGTTTTCCCTCAGTGTGGAATGAATATGAGAATTCATTTTTTGGTGACTTTAAAATGCTTATATTCTCCAATTTTCTCTCAGTCTATAAATAAAAATAATTCAAGTACATTACTTGGTCACTTAGGGACGCTATATTTTGCACAAATTATCCACTATCAGCCAGTTTTTTTTTATTTCTAAAGTAATTTGACTCTCACAAAACAATTTAGAGACTTCGAATAGCTTATAAATATTATAACATATAATTCTTAAAGCTAGAACGTTAGAGTATTCGACGTCTAATTTTATTACTCCAGTTTTTAATAATGGATATTCTTTGCAACATCAGAAAGAGAAAGAAAATGCAAGTTTTAGTATACCTACATATTATGTAAATTAAATTTCCCTAAGTAAAGAATTCCAAAAATTACTTTTCCAGCGAAAATTATATGATTTTCGACACAATAATTTTAAATAAATAATTAATTAATTAAAAAATTCATTAAAATTTTAATAAATTGAATAAGTAAATTAAATTCAAAAGAATGTTTTTTTGTAAAAACCGTATATTAATTTTGAAAATCTCAAAAACAATTCTTCAAATTTCTAGTTTAGATCAAAACTGAATTACTGAAAAAGACTTGATTTTCACATTATAGGGATGAAGAAGAAGGATAGGGAGTAGAGGAAGGAGGCGAGGGCGGGGGGCTAAATTAATTAATTTAATATGAATATTTGAACATGTTTTTTTAATAAAAATTTTATAATTAAATAATTTATTCAAACCCATTGCTTATTACCTAACTGTATTTTGAAAATAACCGGTTTTATTTCAGCATCATAATATTATTTTTCTTGTTATACTTACTTAATTGAATTAAAAAAAATGCTTAGTTATTTTGAAATATAACATGCTTAACCACTTAGAAATTCTAGTTTCTATAGTTTTTGCTTAGGAAATATTAAAATTTATACAAAATCAATTAAATATTATAATATGTACGTGTATGTTTGTTCATATATTTATATGTGTGTATGGAAATGTAAAATTCTATATTATACTCATGCATAAATAAATTGTACAAAATGTCAACTAATAAGTTTTTTAATTTAAAAATTTTAAACTTACAATGAAATCAAATTCATAATTTACCTATAAGCAGTTTGGAACAACCCAATCTAAATTACATATTGCACTTGCTTATATAGCATTTATATTACACACGCATTACACATATTATGTATATTAAACATATGAAGTAGATACCTACTTATTCGCAGAATTTTAATTAATTAACTTATATACATAATTTATTTATATGCAATAAAATGTAATAATATTATTAAATTGTGTATAACTGCTTAAAATACAAAAAAAAAATATTTTATGCAAAATTTTAATACGTATGCAAAAATTTTGCACAGCAACAAAACCGAAATATAAAATAATAAAAATTCATGTAGTACATACATGTATGTGCGAATATGTGTATACATTTTTCCATATATACTTATGAAAATTATTGAGTATTTTTCAATTTTGCATAATTCCGCATACCAAAATTAGTGAAAGTTTTGCATCCTTTATAAAATTTATGTAATAATTTTAATCAATTAAATTTTTATCTTACAATTATTAATTTTGTCATTGTAATTATACATGTATGAAAGAAACCGTCATACATTGTTCAACATACAAATTGTCATAAACTAATTTTAAAGCAATTTTTTACTGAACACATCTTTCTAAACTTTGAGTAAATATAATACATATATTTATTTTTCATCAATTTAAATATTAAAATTTTGGAACAAAATGCTCATTCATAGACAAAAATGACTTAACATCCAAGGAATCAGGATTCCCAACAACAAAAATTATTGTTACTCGTATTTGAAATCGCGATATTGTAGCATTTGAATTTGAACAGTGCCGCACTTAATATATCAGGAGCCTTGAGAGAATATATAATAAGCTTTCGACAATAGACGACATGTTGTTTTACATAATGCCCACATACATACTTATGGACATCATTTTATAATAAAATAAAAATATAAATTTTCGACAATTTCTGAAAATAAAATACTTTCCATATCATTAAACCTTAAGTTATAGAGATTGTTGTTATACTTATTTTGACAACTTGTTAGTTTAATTAGTAATTGTATATAATATGGTGTACCGATTTAATGAAAACAAGTCTTTAATTTTAAAAATTGTACATTTAAATTAAAGATATGTATGTATGTTTAAATGAATTTTTTAAACTAAGCAATAAAACAATTAAATCAGCTGATTTTCTCTGTTAACAAAAAAAAAAAAAACAAAATATGTCAGTACACACACATTGAAATTGGTATTTGTGTATATAATAATACTTAGATGTGTGTTAGAAATGGAATTTAATATACATATATAATATTTATAGCTTGCACGCAACAAATAAATATATGTATGTTTTTGTGAGTGTGTATATTTAAATGTAATAATCGTATGTTTTTTTTTTTATTTTTTTTTTAATGAGGTTTCGACTTTTTTTTTCTTCATTCGGTATTTATTTTTATGATTATAACAGATTTTAAATTATTAAAACAATAATAATAAAAAAAAAAAGAATAAATTTTCAGAGTTCATTGTAAATTTTTATAATTTTATTAATTAATAATTTTATTTTATTGTAAAAATATTAATAAATATTATTATGAAAAAATATACAACAAAATAACTACATATGAATATTAACCGGAACGGTTGTTGATCATCTATTGTCATTATTGCTTATTCAGTTAAGCATACATATGTACATACAGAATATATACATTGTAAACATATTGTATATTTTAAAACTTAGCATTGATTATAATAGATTTACTATAATGTTAGGTCATTATCATATTCTATTATAATAGTAGTAAAATACAATTGTTCAAACCAAAAATTAAAAATATTCTCAAGGGGGCAATTTATACTTTGATTTGAAATCAATAAAAATTTATATGCATATATATATATATATATATGTGTGTGTGTGTGTTTGTGCATTTGTATTATACATACTTATACATATATTTCCATTTTATCCATATACATACCTATAGTAAAGTTCTTTGCAGTTAGTCAAACTTATTTACTCTTGACGAATTCATTTTAAAAATTTCCTATGCTTGAATATAAAAAAAAAAAACTTAAACGGCAACTCATATTGCCGTCAGGAGAATCACATACTTTGTTATTTAAATAATTTTAATGCATTAAATATTTACCTTGTTTTATAAAATATTTCATAAATTTTATTTAAAATTATATTTTACACGACCTAAAGAGATGGTGATTATCAAAGTGAATCGGTCTGTTCAACCAGTTCAAAACTTTTGAAAAAAAAAAATTTTTACGATAAAACTTGAATTTTTATACAAATTGTATTTGTAATTTTAGAAGTTTTATAACATTATCTTCAATTTTATTACGGATCTTTCTACATACTTACATATACATACATATATATATTGTAATTATGGTATATTTCAGCTATAATAAATAAATTCCATGTGGCAACACGAGATTTTTTCCTTCTATTTTCAATTTCAAGTTTTTATTATAGCAGGTTATACTCATATAATATGTATGTATATATTTTGTAAACGTATATAACGTAATGATAATTTTAAAGCTAATTACCTAATTATAAATAAGATTAATAATGAGAACACATGCCTATTTGAATAACAAAAAAAAAATAGTTAAAACGTGTAAACTAATATTATGATTACCTAATATGCACAAGTGAAAGCAAATACCATAAATCTAAATAATAAAAACAGAATGTAAAAATTAAAAATATTCTTTTGCATGAAAACAAAAAAGTAACTCCGATATTATACATACTTATGTAATTATGATTTTCCAATATGTCAATTTTATGTCAAAATAAATGTCAATTTTATTACGATATTGTATTATACCTGTTGCAATTACATACATAACGTATATGAATTACTTATAAATTATGATTTATAAAATCATTTCTCGATTAATTCTACCTAAGTATATATACCTAACGCACTTGCAAGTTTATGAAGCAAAAAAAAAACAGAGTTACCATACATGCAAAAAATTTTAAACAAAAAAAAAATTTAATTTATTCAATACGAATTTGCGTTGGCGAAAAATTATGAAAAATGAAATTTAATTTAAGCAATTATATATTCGTATATATTTTATAAATATACATATGTATATATATATATATATATATATATTTAAAGAATGTACATGCATTAAAAATGTCAAATTCAAAAAATTTAATATTATAATTTTAAAACAATGTTGCAATATCTTTTCACACCCGTTACTTTTTTTTTAATACGCATACTTATATAATGTACATACATACATACATACATACATAAATATACGTTATACTTATTCAAGTATGTTAATTTGCTTACTGTGGAATTTTCAATTAAATGTGAAAAAAATTATTGCTTTAAAATTTTATAATTTAAATGCCATTTTTCATTTTAATTGATTCAATTACCTAATCAAAATTTCGAAATAAATTTTAACACGTTTACGTGTAAGTAATATGAAAATTTCAAATTTGAATTAATTTCTAACTTTTTTTCAAATTTTATTTACTTAAATGCAAAATATATGTATGTGTGTATTTTAGAACATATTGGTATTACAAGTATATTTTTAATATTTTGTTTGATTTTTTCAATTCAATTATGAATAAGTATTCAAATAACGAAATTTAATAATAAATTTGAATTTAAAACACATTTATTTTTAATTCTGAGTAAAAATAGACCTGATGCCTGTAATTACAGAATTGAGGTAAATGGCCGATAGCGCAAATACAAATGTAAGTATGTAAATTACTTACATAATTTGGAATAAGTTAGGAAGAAATTGCAGAATTGGGGGAGCCCAAGTTTCGTTTATTAAAAATTAATTCCTACTGCAAATAAGTTACAGTATTTACTTGTACATACATATATACATAAGTATGTTTATATTATATTAAAAATATAAAATATAGTCTTCCGTCATGCAAAAAAGCCCCTCAGGCATGAATGCCATTCTTTTTTGATAAATGAAATTTTCTCCTTCATTTCGTTTTATTTTTACTAATGCACTCTAATTTATATGTATGACAACCAAAGGTACATATGTATATTATATATAATTGTACATATTTATATACCTGTGCATATGCACGTAAATGTTTTTGCTTACTTGGTGCCAAATCATTTAATTTTTGATTGTTATTAAAATCTCGTGTATATCATTTGGTAACATTATTTAATAAATTATACGTCTACATCATAAATATAATTTTGTCAAACAGTTGAGTACAAATATATAACATATGTAAGTATATAATATACACAATTGTACAAATATATACATATATAATTACAATCTTACATACATACTTGTATGTTGGTAAATTTGAGAGCAACTTTTTTGCTTTTATTTTTTTTTCTTTATTTTCAATTTTTCATTAATTCTCTCGTCTCTTGTCTCTTGCCGTATTGTGTTGTTTGATTTTAATCGGTGTTTTATCTGCGACGCGTGAAAAGCTTCTCATTCTAAGTTTTTGTTTTGTGTCAGTCGCGTGAAATAAAAAAAAAAAATATAATTTTTTTATTACTTATTTTTAAATTTTAAAAATATAAACTCAATTTTAATTTTATATAAATTTTTGACAGCGGCACCGCTTTGATTATTTTCTAGTGGAAAAAGTACTTTTGTATACTTGCATTTAAGTAAATATACATTATTATAAAGTTTAATTGTACACATATGTATGTACGTATGCAAATGTATGAATATGTTCAGAAATTTAAAGTGAATACAAAACTTACATAAAAATATTTATACATACTTAGCTCCCATTTGTTAAGTGTTAAATTTAAAAAGAATTTCAATTATTAGAAAAATATAATTATATGTATGTATGTACACATGTATATTATATAAATTGAGTGATTCACAAAAATTGTTTTTTTTGCAAAACATTTTTATTGTAAAATTTTCCTATTTTTTGTGATTAATTAACAACTTTTATAATAAGAAATTGTGTCGTAAATAGTGCTAGCGAACACTCACTCACCTGCATGATCAATGTAATAATGCTTTGATTTTAAAAATGAAATTTTACTTAAATAATTAAATAAATATTATAATAACTTAAAAATTAATAATAATTAAAATTTCAAATATTTTGGCTGCATAAATAGTAAAGTAAGTAAAATATTTTTTTTCGAATTGAAATTTATAATTTCATGTCAGAATTTTATAAGAAATAAAATTGCAAATAAACAGGAGACAAATACTTTAAATTCTGTTATATTGCTTTTCAATTGAAATTGTGGTATGATATTAGGTTTTATTATCCAAAATATGGTCATTTCAAAAAATTTGTAATAAAGGGCTGGATAACTTATTTTTTGCCTTTTTTTTCCCCTTGTACGGATATATGTATATTGTATATATTATATATATACTATATATATACAAGAAGCTTCTTTGGTATGCTCTTTTTCTGAAATGCTACCTGAAATAAGCCGCCGGCAAATGGGTGTATAGTTTTGAGTTTTGTAACAATTGAGAAATAAATATTTTAACAATTTTTTTAATTAATAATAATATGAAGGTACCAACGTACCCAAAAATATGTCTATAACATTAGGTTCCATACATTTGCGACCACATTACCTTGGTTTGCTGAAATAATTAAGGAAATAAAATTAATTTTTTTTATCAAAATTATTTAAAATTTCTGTGGTATTAAATATATTATTTGAATAAGATTTAAAATAATTCACACAAAAACAAAAAGTTAAAGTAAATAACTTTTAAGGTTTTTAATGTGAAAATTTTAAAATTAGAAATACAATATAAGTTTCAGCCACATAATTTATGGTCCTAACTCTAGTTTATATAATTAAAAATAATTTAATTTACCCGGAATTTAAAATTTTAACCTTAAATAAGTAAATATTTTGAATTAAGAACATTTATTTAAATTTCTAATGGGTTTATTGTTTTTTTTTTCAAAATTTTATCACTTGTTTTATAACAATTTGGATTAAAAAATTATTATACAAATAATATAAGAAGAAAAAAACAAACGATTGAGTACAATTTTTAAAATTAACAGATGGTGTCTTTTTTTTATTAATTTTTTAGAAAACAAACAAATAAATAAATAAATTAAAGGAAAAATTAAAAAAAATGGAAAATTAGTTTTTTTTTTTTTATAAATTTAGAACTCTTAAAGTATATTTACATATATATATATGTATATATATATATATATGTATATATATATATATATATATATATACTTATGTACACAAAGCAATTTATTATATTTTTTTTATTTAGTGAACCTGTTTCGTTTTTAAAATTTAACACTAAAGGTTCAGTAAACTTTAAAGTAGAAATTTAATACTCACTAAAAGAATTAAAATTATCATTTTTCAGTCTTTTTTTTTTTTTTGTTTTCATAAGAATAAAAAACGCTATTCATTCTTTATTTCAATAATAAAAAAAACATACTTAATCGAAATTCTAAATTAATAACTTTAAGTATAATAATATCTTAGCACATACTTACATTCGTACACATATTGATATATGTACATATATACATACAAACCTGTAGATATTTGTGATTAAATAAATTGAAAAGTTGTTTTAATGTCTTATTTTTTTTGCCTTCTTTTATTCTATATATCAGTATGTACATAGTAGGTACGCTCACTCAATTAGATAATTCTTATTTTATTCGATTCGATATGACACCTTTAAGCATGTAAACAAGACATGTTACAAATATATTAATGTAAACAAGACATGTCACAAATATATTAATTAAATTGTATACACGTACATATGCATATATACATATATATATATATGTGATATAAATATATATTTGGAATGATTATAAAATAATAATGATTATATTATAACAATAAATAATAGAATATTTTTTATTAATTTTTATTAAACTGACAGTTCATCATTTTTAAATTTTAGTAGATAAAATGTTTTGTTAAAAAAGGAAAACAGAAACTACTTAAGCCGTTATACACTAGGCTACGTAGCTACGTATGTGTATGTTAATAAAAATTTTATACTTCATTTTGCAATACTTTGAAACTCAACAGGAAAGAGGTGGGCCGGACCTTATATTCATAGGTACGTTATGTGTAAGTTGGACCAGTGTGTAAATTGCTAAATTAATTCTAATTTACTGTAATTCTCGGGTTGGCTTATGTGAGGGTAGAGATATGGAAATCTAGCAATATCTCAAATTGATAAAATTTCGATTTTGATTTCAAAGCTTCTTTTAAATGTTTAAAGCTTTAAATCTTTGATTAATACTATGACAATCCAGAATTATGAGATAAAAATGAAATAATTACAAAATAAATCGCACATCTTTTGCTCCATTATGCAAAATGTGCAATTTATAACCGATTAGCTCCAAAAATTTTCTTCATCAGTTAAAATTATTGGAGCTTTACTGTAAAATCATTATATTTCTGTTAACATTGTATAGCATTCTACTTAATCTTTAACCTTTAATAAAGTTATATCAAACTTTTTTTTTATTGTTGTTTCTTCGTTAATTATAAACATGTTTAAGGTAAGTGTCCCTATTACTGACGTATTTCGCAACAAATTCAACTTTGGCGTGAGATATTTTATATGTGGGACACAATAAATGATCGTGTTTCCGATTTTTTGAATAATTTGGATAATTGAGAATAATGTTTTTTATAAAATTATTTAATCAAAATATTTTTTAATTCATAATTTTTCGATTAAAGATGAAAAGAAAAAATGTTTCTAATATTGACATATCCGCAAATGTTTGTGTCTATTACTGACAGTTTGTGTTCCTAATACTGACAATGTAATTTTATATGCTGTAATCCATACTGTATATATGAATAATGGTTTAAAATGGTTAAAATGATAATATTCAATAAAAATGGAATAATAATTTGGATTTCTACGGATATTTCATTTTATTTAAAAAAAAAATTAAAAATTTATCATATTATAATTCAAACAAAAATAAAAAACATATTTTTTATTGAATTAAAGGTAAAAATATGTGAAATTCAGCTGATTTGAATTTATTATTACTGTAGAATGTACTTTTACTAGTAGTCTAATATACGACAATGAATAAATCAAAATTTTTAAAAGAAATTTATGAAAATCTAATTCGAAATGACATAATGTTTTATAAAGTATTATAAGTAATATTTGCTACAGATGTATTCTTATAAATAATACCTAAAATATGATGTACCATATCACACGAAATTATAAGAAATCATATCAATATATTCTAAAGCTGCTAATAAGCCTATTCTAAAGCTGCTTTTTGTTTTAACAAAGACTATTTATGTATTAAGTACGTAACGAGAGCAACCCATTCTTAATTTTTGGAACAACATTTCGGGTTATTAAAAAGGACTCCTTTTCTTATTAAAAGAGAACCATTTCCGTTGTGATATTTGTTATGACGTTAACGTTTACAGTAATTTCAAAGCATTTTTTTAGAAAGCGAATTGTACTGTTTTATTGACAGTATTGTATGCAATATTGACACACAATTTGTTAGACGAATATCACTATTAAAAAGGTAAAAAGGTCGTAGTCAGATATAGGTTTTCACAAATGTAATCGATTTTCATTCGACAGAAATAGTTTAAACAATTTTAAAGTATAAAGAATTTATTTTAATTAATTAAAATGAATATCAAAATTAAAACTTTATACTGACATAATTTTGTACATAATATTGACCATCTTTAGATCGTATTACTGACACCCGTTTTTAAAGCTAAAATACTCCGAACCTGTAGTAAATTCTTAGTGTCAGAATTCGGACATTAGAAAGAAAATTCAAATTCGATTTTAATTAAATAAATACGAAAATAAAAATTTAAATATTTTAAAAATGACGACATTTATAAAAATACGGATTTTTGACGTATTACTGACACATATGTCAGTAATAGAAGCAGGGTCGAATTTTAGATGTTCCTAATACTGATAGAAATTATTTTTCAAAATTCTTATTTATTTAACGTTTTTACTCCGAATAACTTATAAAATAAACAAAAAAATAATCAAAATATTTAATTTGATATAAATACATATATTTTTAACCCTCAAATAAGTCAAAAAACAATAAAAACAAAATCGGAAAAATTAAGCAAAAAGTATAAGAAATTCTCCAATGCAACCCACTTTTGCTATGTCTATGGAAACAAAACTGATTTATGTTCAATATTTTGGAGTTATTTCAAAACTAAATAAAAGGAAGTATTGCGATAATTTGAATTAATCTAGAAATAAAAAAATATATATATGTTGTATAGAGAAAATCTCTTAATAATTATAAAAAACCTCATATATGTCAGTATTACCGCCACTGTCAGTATTAGCTACACTTACCTTATGATAATAAATTTTTTTTCTTCATTATTTAATTCATCATTTTATTTAGCAAATAAAAAAAATTACAGGTATTTAATTTTAATAAATCAAACAAAAAAACAACAAAATATTTAGGCTTTCTTAATATTTTTGACCGGTATTTTATTTTAAAAAATTAAGTAGAAAATGTATCATATGAGAAGCAATTTTTAGGGAAAAAATACCGAGATATTAAGTGTAAAACTACTTTTCAAAATTGCAAATCCAGTTCATAATCATTTTATGATGCTACCAAATCCATATAAAATGACAATGGCAACAGGCACCACAAAAAAAAAGTTGTTAAACCAGAATTCATAATTTCTTTGTTTGTAAAGTATCCGGATTCAGGAACTCTATAAATGATATTTAAATTTTTAATATAGTAATCATCATTTTTATATTAATTTAATATTTCATGTTTGTACTAATCCGTACTTCCTTTTTCTGACAAATTCGAGTGATATTTGGTCATCATTCAATTCGACATTTAGAGTAGGACTTAATCATCATTCGATTTTGGATGAAGGTCCTCTAACACTATTCATTAATATTTTAAGCTGAAACATATGCTATTGAATTATGTGCTCTGGAGTGGGGCAATTCTCGGGGCGATTTCATCTGTCTACAGTCTGAGGGAAGCAACAATTTCTTTCGTTTGACCGAAGCCATGCTTTTGACGACAATGATCCTGCTCGCCCTGAATGATTGAGAGGAACGGACCAGGGTCGATTATTAGAACGAATATCCGAGCTTATTTCACCCCACAAAAATTCTCTCTTTCTTGGAGCCATAGTCCAGATTTGAGGCTATTGGTGGGTGTAATCACTAGATATTGTCTCTCGCTAGCCTATCTGAAAAGGATGGGAAAGGCGGAGGACGAGATCTGCCTTCTCTCCCTGGAAGAGGACGAAAGCAGTTATTGTTTAAATGTAAGGCAATGACTCGCTTCCGACTGAGATGCTTTGAAAGGAGCTTCGTGACCCCAGTGGGAGTCTAGGGACTTGGTGTGGCTGCTATACTGCAATTCATTTTGTTATTTTTTAATATAAGTATCTATTTTAATACTTGTCACATAAATAATTCTAATAAATAATTCTAAAAAAAAATAAAATAAAATTTCCTATCAATCGTCTAAAAAATTTCTCAGAATTAATTTTAATTCATAATTATATTTGTTCAGCTTTAAGTTTTTTCAGTTGCTTTCTTATTAAAATATCTGCTACTAAAAAAATAACAAATTGAGTAAAAATAACAAGTTCAACAATATAAAACAATAAATTTATGAAAATTAGAAATTATAGAACAAAAAAAATTCAATAATAATAATTATTGTAAATTATTTAAAAAATTTTAATTTTCTTTGTAAATTTTCATACTTTAATGAACATCTACTTAATATATACAATGTATATACATATGTATATATGTATTCGTGTATAAATATTGAATACTAATCAAATATATCTTGTAACAATTTGAAAAATAACTAATTATTTGTCATTACCTAACTAATTCTTATAAAAAACACAAGAAAAAACATGGCTTTAGAGACCATTTAATAAATAAAATAAAAAACAACTCATTTACATATGTCAAACTTTAAGGTAAAAAAAAAAATTGATGAATACTTAAAACATTTTTTTTTATAATTAATTCCGAACTTAATTCTGAATAAAGGTTGTGTAACAACTTAAAATAATATAGATTAAAATTTCAGTGATGTTGTGACAAAAATTTTTTTGCAAATTTTTTTGGAAAAAGTACTAAAATTATTAAAAATTTATTATTTATAATATAATAGTTATGTTGAGAAACAACTTTGACAAATTGCGAATATTTTGAAAGCCAAATCAGCGAAACATGATATCCTTCATCTTTTCGACGAATCATGATTTTATTCCCCGCTTCGTCCTGGTCATATAAGATTATTTGATAATGCGTCGGTAGGAGAATCTCAGAAAATTCTGATATTGGCTTTTTTTCGGATCCAAATTCGAACTTTAAAGACTTTTTCGGTCGCAATCGAAATTCGGCAAATGTTTTTTATTTTGATAGCGATGAAAAGCAAATTTCTTTATAAATATATTTTGACAGACTTATAAATATGATTTGCTTATAACATGTTTAGCAAAATTACCAAAAAGGTGTGTTCATAGTTAAAAGTTGAACAAATCTATCATTTAAACGACATTATATACTAAATCCTGCGATTTTTTTTATTAAATTTTGACTTCCCAATATAAGAAAGATTAAATTTAATTTACAATTTAATCGATATTTGCAAATTTTAATAAGTTTATATCCAAGAACATTTCCTCATTTACTATCAGAAACAAGAATACTTACTTTTTTATCAATACTATTTCCTTAAATTTTTGAACAAGCTATACAATACTTTTATTTTACACGACAATGGATTATGGTTTTACAATAAAAAAAAATAATAATGAAGAAAATGAAAGTTTATGTAAATTGTGTCTTTCTGCAATAAAATATTCAAAGTTATAGATCTATATTTTATCATCACAAGTACATATAATTAACAAAAAACAAAAAAAGTCTTTCAAACTGAGTGCGAACCTATATACATTCATACATATATATTCATGTACTAATAAAGTACTTTGTGTACTTTCAATAACATTGAACTGAAAATTATAGATTACACCCGTATTGTATCTCAATGATAACACGTT